CAGCCTCCCAAAGGCGCGGGATTACAGGCTGAGCCACCGAGCCCGGCTTAATTTAGTTTTTTAAATCCATTTAGTCACTCTGAATTTTGTTTGGAGAATTTAATCCATTTACTATTAAAGTAATTATTAATAGGTAAGGACTTTCTCTTGCCATTTTATTATTTTTCGACTGTTTTGCAGTTCCTTTGTTCCATTTTTCCCCTCGCTGTCTTTGTGATTTGATGACTTTTGTAGTGGTAGGCTTTTATTCCTTTATCTTTGTTTTGTGTATCTACTACAGTTTTTATCTTTGTGATTATAAGGCTTACATAAAACCTCTTTTAGTTAGAACAGTTTATGTTAAGCTGATAACATCTTACTTTTGATTGCCGTAAAAAGCTAGTTTACTTGTCCTGTGTCCACATTTTATGTTATTGATGTCCCAGTTTACATTTTGTATCTATGAACAAATTGTTATAGCTGTAGTTATTTTTAATACTTTTGTATTTTTAACTTTTATGCTGAAGTGAAAAGTGATTTACACACCACCATTTACAATATTAGAGTATCATGAATTTGACTACAGACTTATTTTTGCCAGTGAGTTTAATATTTTCATACTTGTTAATATTGCTAACCAGCATTCGTTATTTCAACTTGAAATACTTTCTTATAAGCATTTGTTATAAGGTAGGTCTAGTAGTGATGAACTTTAGACTTGTTTTTGGTCTGGAAAAGACTTTATCTTTCGTTTCTGAAGGACACCTTTGCCAGGTGTAGTATTCTTGACTGACTTTTTTTCTTTCAACACTTTGATTATATTCCATTATCTCCTGGTTTACAAGGTTACTGCTGGGAAATCCACTAATAGTCTTGAGTTTCCCTTTTATGTGATGAATTGCTTTTTTATTGCTGCTTTCACAATTCTTTTTGCTTTGACTTTTGATAATTTAAATATAATGTGTCTTTATATATAATTTTCTTTGACCCCTTTTGGGAAACTCTAAGCTTCATATCCCTCCCAAGACCTAGGAAGTTTTTACCCATTATTTCTTTTAATACGCTTTCATCCTTTTTTTTCTCTTCTCTCCTTCTTGGAAACTCATAATGTATTTTTGGTCCACTTCATGGTGTCCCATAAATCCCATAGGCTTTCTTCATTTTTAAAATACTTTTTTTCTTTCCGTTCCTCTGACTAGATATTTCAAATGTCCTGTCTTTGATTCCACAGACTCTTGCTTCTGCTTGATAAAGTCTGCTGTTGAAGATCTCTACTGCATTCTTTATTCCATTCATTGTATTCTTTGGCTCCAGAATTTCTGTTTTGTTCTTTTTATGATTTCTGTCTCTTTGTTGAACTTCTAGTTATGCTCATGTATTGTTTTTCTGATTTTATTGAGTTGATATCTATATTGTCTTGAATCTCTGCATTTCCTTAAAACAATGATTTTGAATTCTTTATCAGGTAATTTGTAGATCTATACATCTTTGGGGTTGATTACTGGATATTTATTCATTTATTTTGGAGTGTCATGTTTGGTGATTCTTCATCATCCATGCAGACTTGCATTCATGTCTATAAAGAAACATTTCCTCTAATTGTCTTTATAGGCTGAGTTCAGCAGGCACAGACATCTTTAGATTGATGGTACTGTGCTAGGATATAGTTAAGCAGGCCTGGAACCACATGACTGCTGTCCAGTCTACAGTTGGGTCTGTGTTTGACAGGTCTGCTACCTGGAGTTGGGTGGGTGGATATGGTTCCTGATGGATCCATAGGAAGATTGGATTGCCTCCAACACCCTGACTAAACACATCTGGAGTCAGGTCATGGGGTCACTTCTGGCTCCCAGGTCAAGTCTGCAAATAGCAGGCCTATTACCAAGGGCATGGACTGATGTAGCACCTCACCCCCCTTGGCTTCTTGAATGAGTTCCTGCTGGTTTCCTCAGTGGATCCATGGGGAGGCAGAACTGCCTTGAGTACAGTAGAGCAGGGCTGAAAACAGGTCACAGGACAGTTTTGGGAACCATGGTTGGGTCTGAGATTGGTGGTCCTCTTATAAGGGGAATGGATGATGTGTCTCCCACCAGGTCCCTGGGTGGGTTGGACTGTGCTCAGAATGTGGCAAAACAGAACTGGAACTGAGTCACAGGGCTATGTTAGTGTCCATAGTTGGGACTAGGGTCAGCAGAACTGCTACTGAGGGCACAGAAAAGTGTCACTGGGTCCCTGGGCAGACAGAGCTGATAGTGGTGGATTAGTGGGGCTGGGATGCTTCAGGATCTGCAGTCAGGACCATGGTTGGAAATCCTGTTACTAGGGCTATGGTCTCTCCCAGGTCCCTTGATGGATAGAGCTAGTTGCAGGACTGTGATCAAGTAGAGCTAGATGCAAGTCCATAGGAGGACAAAGTTGCTTTCAGTCTGCAACTGGGGTCACCTTTGGCGAGCCTGCCAGTAGTGTGTAGACCTGCCTTCTCAAAGGAACTCTTCTTGTCTTGGGCTTTGCTGGACTTTTATAACCTCCTACCTGGATCCTAAAGCTCCTGCAAAGACATATTTGTCCATGAATGATTGCGAGATCATGTTTGTGTGTGGGGATGCAAGTGGAGCACATTCTATCCTGCCATCTTGCTGATGCCACTCTTACAGGATTATGTTGATTTCTTGGTCAGACAATTTGTAGATTTTTATGCCTTTGGAGTGGGCCACTAGAGGTTTATTTTGTTCCTTTGGTGGTGTCATACTTTTTTGTTCTTTGTGTCCTTTGAAGACTTATGTTGCTGTCTTTGTGTTTCAAGAAAGTCATCTCCTTCAGTTTTACTGACTGTGGGAGAGAAAGATCTTCACCAGTGAGCTCAGCTGAATTCTTTGTCAGGCTATTTGTAGACCTTTATGTCTTTGGAGTCAGCCACTGGAGCTTTATTTTGATCACTTGATGGTGTCATATTTTCTTGTTCTTCATGTCCTTTGAAGACTTACATTGCTGTCTTTACATTTCAAGAAATAGTTATCTCCTCCAGTCTTTACTGACTTCAGGAGAGAAACACCTTCACCAGTGAACTCAGTTATAGATTCTAGGGGTCTCACAGACCTTTTCTGCGGAAGATTCTGCTCCACTACTCTTGATTTTTCTTGAAGGGGATATCTTAGAATTTTTTGGCTTCTCTTGGTCTTACAAATGGATAGAACAACCAGAAGAGACAGGAAATAGAACACTTGAACAACACAGTAAACTAACAGACAGGAAATAGAACACTTGAACAACACAGTAAACTAAGTAGACCAATCAGACATGTACAGGACATTCTACTCAACAACAGAATACACATTCTCAAGGATACATGGACGTTCTCAGGATAGAGCATACATTAAACCACAAATTAAGTCTTAATCTATTTTTTCTCTGACCCTACAGGATATACAGGATTAAGTTGGAAGGCAATACAGAAGTGAAATGGGAAAAAAAATCACAGATTTGTAGAAATTAATACACTTTTAAAAACCAATGGATCAAAGAAGAACTCACAAGGAAATCAGAAAATTCTTAGAAATATGAAATTAAATCACCACATCAAAACTTATGAGATATGAAAATGGTGCTAAGGAGGAAATTTATAACTATAAGCACATTAAAAGAACAAGAAACATCTCAATTCAACAATCCAACTTTACACATTAAAGAACTAGAACAAACAAGAAAGCAAACAAACTAAAACCAAAGTTACCAAGAGGAAGGAAGTAATAAGGATTAAAACAGGTAAGTGTCCCCCTCCCCCACCTTGGGGAGGTAAATCTTTTCTCTCTTTTCTCTCTCTTACTTTTAAATAAACTTTTCTTTTTCTTAAAAAAACAAACAGATAAGTGAAAAAGAGAATAGAAAAACAAAGAAA